AGAGTCGATGGACGCAGATATCAAGCAAATGCTCGCAGCGAGAAGGTGAGGAGGACGGATTGCAGAAGGGCAGTTTGGTTGGTGCTTATCGAGCATGACAACGATGCTGATGCTGCCAGCCACCGTGATGATTCCTCTCTATTTTCACCTGTTACAAAGGTATCTACTCGCTACAAAACACCTGGCACTCGGTGCATTTCATGCAAATGAAGTTGACATCTTGTTTAACGCTGCAAAAAAAACTTGAAAAGGTAACACCTTTTTTGTAATTATGTAAGTAGCATGTGGGCTTCGCAGCTGAGGCAAACATGTGTCATCTAGTTGATTTGATTTTGTGTGAAATAAACTTTGGCATAACGAAAATCACTAAATTGTATATATTAACACAAGAATATCACATGCTTTGTGATTATTTGCTTTCCAGTTTGTTTTGCTTTACGTTCTGTGAGATGATGAATCAGTGGTCTCATAAAGTGGATAATTTTATTCTAGTATAGAAATGTTACATTTTAATTATATATATTTTTAATTAAGTTTGTTTGTAATAATCTGTAATGATTACTTTGTTGCAGGGAAAGGCGTATTCTTCAAGAGACCTGAGCTACCTCGGTGCAGCGTCGCATGCATATTTCAACTGGGCAGGCCAACTGCAGATACATTGGGCTGGAGTTCGTTGCACAGGTGCTGTTGGCATTGTTACCTATGGGCGCATACGTACAGGGACAGCCTTTGCGTCTCGGGCAATCGTTCTCAGCTACCGTCTCAATGGTAAATTGCATGCTGATGTGTTGTGCGTGCATGCATGGTGTGTGTATGTGCGCGTGCATACGTGAGTGTTTAAAAAGTGCAATGCATATAAATTCTCTTTCTTTTAAGTTGGCTGATCCAGCAGAAGAATTTGCCGTAGGTAAAAAACCTTCGTGGTCGTATATCACAACAACATGATCTATGGATTCCGCTTCCATCAAGGCACGAGGGTAGTCATTGCTGCACGTATGTCCTCAAGTATATAATCTAAAGTTGAGTGCTGACTCATGTGGTAAAGGGGTGAAATGAACGAGAATACTTGGGTGTCAGGAACCACTCAGAATTACTTACGCTTGCCGGACCAACTATTCGATGTGAATCTGACGAATATAACTCCTTCAACCCTTGTTGCTTCAAGTACTTCGATAGATACATTTGGAGTCTAACATCTAACGCAACTGTGTCACTTTTGAGTTGTCTTGCGTTTGTGGTCAGCTTCGCCAGGTCTCGTCTTGTGCACAGATTGTACTTAAGTATCGATCTTGCTGCTTCGGTTTCTACCGCAACTACATTGCAGCTGGCTTGTACTGCGAATGGTCTTTCTCACTCTGTCGATGTCCTGTTCATCTGTTTACTGAAAGGGCTCGCCGTGCCGCCAACAATTGCCGTGAACCCATTACGGAAATGCTGGTAGGTGAAGGGACGGGGCGGCTGCTACACGGCATGCGTAAGGAACCTAGTAGAGGTGTGCGAAATGGGGTGTGTTCGGTTCAATCTTAATTGTATTTGGAGATTTTGGAGAATGGGTGGGACTGTGTTATGACAATAATGTCGTCCAACTCCGTCAGAACTGACAGATTTTGTACGCACATTGTAGGTGCCTTATTCATGCTCGATACCAAAAATGCACTTGGCAAAGTGCGATATTTATAGCAATGTCGGTGATCGGTTAGTGAGAGGGAGCTTCCTCTGCGCGTGGTTGTTTGTTTGCCGTTTACTACCAACAAAAACAGACCTATTATTGTCAGTATAACGCAAGGGGCAAGTTACATGACATGGTTCGCACAGTCTTTGAAAGTCCTTGGATTTGAGGGGAGTCGCTTGAAAAGTACCTGAATTTTAAGTAATGTTGATTTTAGCCGGATGTTTGAAAAGTCCTTGAATTTTTTTAGAAGCCTGCCTGTATAAGAAAGACTTTGTACATTTAAAGTTTTAATGTTCTGCAAACCGCAATAAAATTTGTGTATAAATTGAGCTTAAAAAGCCTATAGACAGAATAGACAGTGTTAAATGATGGATCACCAAATACCAGTAAGTCGAGTAAAATCAGTCGCTCAGTAAATCAATTGGTATGTTGTAGAAGTGACAGTGTTCTTAGAAGGGTATTATTAAGTGTGATCCAGGTAAGTTAGAGGGACAGTGATTAAGAATGGGTTATTATTAAATTGAATCCAGGTTTAGTCGTGTGTTGCCCACCGCGTGTGTATTGATTCGATAACATGTCTTGCAGCAGAAATTTTCGGAGTCACTGTTTATGACCATGTGTACTGAGCGTGTTGAAGGTATTGATGTTATTGGGAGTTGAGGGCTTCTGAAAGACACATGGTCCCGTTGTCCATCTGGCTAATCAGGGATGGGTGCACATTTCAGGCAGGGCACATATTTACGATTCTGTCCTCGGGTCACTGAGCTGAACCCTCGCATGCCGCAGACTTGCATCTTGATAAGTTTTTTTGGTGAGCCTTGAGCACCTGGACTCACTTGGTTGCGTGAGTTTACTAGAGCTCTCCTGTTGAAAGCCAATTATACTGCACACACACCACACACACACACACACACAACATACACACGGTGCACGCAGCATCACGACGCACACGTTTAGGAAAGAAGTACTGAACGTTGTCTAAGATGCTGAGGCGAATGTTCAGAAATGACAAAAACAGTCACGTCAGTCGTGTTACTGAGTCACGTGGGAATGCCCTTAACGTGACAAAGAGTAATGTAATAATGACAAGTCTTGATCGCGATGATACTGTAGATTTCCCGCTATTCGCTCTCCCCTCTCGAATCACGTTTAGTTAAGGATTGTTGCAGTAAACATGTGCATGGTCGCAAAGGGGATGTGTAGGGACAATGGCGAGTCCATCTGTGATCCTCTGACGGATGGTGGTCGGGCTGGCCACGTTTCTTTACAGTATTTTTGATGCTCTATTCCATGACAGGTAAAGTACGATGCGTAGCCGCGGACAGTTGCCACTGAGATGCTACATTGTGCGACTTTGGTTTTATCTTCTTTTCACAGGAGGGCTTTCAAGCCTTTCTCATCTGCGCATACCGACGTGTGATTTACAGTCATGGTCAGCACGACTTCTGTGCGGTACCGATCTCCGCTATACGATGTGTGTATAGGCCACCGGCAGTGTTTCGAAATTGCACGTCGGCCGTCGGGCCCGCCGCCGACGTTTCTGATTGCGCGGGCCTACAGCTTCTTGATGAGCCAACAGGCCGCTGATCCGTACAGCTTACTTGGGATCACGAAAATTCGAAAACTGAGAAAAACTGTTACCTGTAGAAATCTGTCATGCATATTAACTCCAGGGGTATTTTTGAAACTAGATTCCGGTGATTATAACAGTGACATAGGGCCGACATGGTAAACAATGCGTTCGCCCACTGCAATCAACTTTAGTTGGCATTCAAGAAGACGTCTGCGTGGGATGTGCGACGCACAGGTTAGCACACGGTTCCTGCATCAGTAGCGAGCGTTGGCATACCTCAAAGAATCGATAGAGAAGTGGGTGGGGAGCTTACTTTTGGCATGTATCGGTTGAACCCTTAGCTTGTGTTTGGCCAGGTTAGGGGCCTCACTGTTCGACTGTGCGCTAGGTTGTGGAGTATATTCACATCCCGCGCGATTTCACGTTTGGATGTAGAGACAATACAAGTATCACTGCCGTCGGATTTTGACACAAACGACTGCAGTATAACGTGTTTTAAGATAATATTAAGAAAGATTTAGATAAGTTAATACTGCATGGGTGAAGATTATACACTACACATAGATGAATAAATCTGCGTCTTCAAGTTTTACCCAGAGCACACATGTCATAATTAAGTCACTGTAGCTCGCAAAGCACGGCGTGGATTTACTTACTAGTCATGCAAACAGCAGTGTACCAGGCCATCGTCGCACTCCACTCGGGGTTCTTACCGTGTCATATGTGTTTTTTAACGCTTGGGAAAAAACTATTATACATTTATACAGGGTGTAGCTAAATACAAAGCTTCCCTACGTAAGAGCTTGTATGTCTACAAAATTACATTTCTTCGGACACACTCCAACACAGGGAATTCCCCGAGTGCCCATCAAAATTTTTACAGTAGTGTAAATTTTACATTAATTTTGTTGCTTTTTCACCAGAAAAGTGGTTGCTAGTTGTAAGCTATTGGAGTACCTTGAACATGGCTCTAGATTGATCTCCAGAGCTTATTAAGTTTCACAGAATTGTTTCTGGCCCCAGACCCCATAGAAGTCCCGATGCTGTACCGACGCTCACCCAGTCGGTGGCTCTCTGCTGTCAAGGGAAAGTTGTAGTTACCCAAGGAGCTAATATAACAAACGAATTGTGGCGGTTTCCTAATTTGAGCCCGGCACGAAGCACTAAATGTCATCGACGAGAGGAAGGAAATAACAGGGATTATGATTATGGGCATTTTGATGAATGACTAATTAAAATAAGAAAGACATTAGATATGCTGTTTCCTCGATTACTGTAATTTGCCCTCCAAATTTGCGGGGCCTACGCTTTGCTGGTGGGCGCCTGCAGCTTAGAAGCTATAGGCCCTGCAGGCCTACAGCTTTTTCTGCTCACTGGCAAACACTGCACCGGGCACCCTTATTTTTTTGCATTTTCAATTCCTTGCCTAGTATTGTGCTGATCTGGGAGAATTATATCTTATTCTAGAGAAATTTAGCAACTTAAGATAGCTTGCATTGTGTGTAGACTCAATCACGTGTTGAACCAGCAATGATAGCAGTGCATGTAGACTCGTGTACGTGTTTAAGCTGTGACGATTGTATTGTGTATAGATGCAAGCCCTTGTTCAAATTGCACTGTGTGTGGAGTTGGCTACATATAATGCCTATGTATAGGCATTATGTACTGTCACAGTGTCACAGGCGAGTGCTAAAACTTGATGGTGTATCGTGTAGTGTAGATGAATGCTAAAACTTAGTGATGGTTGCCTTGCAGGAATCGGTGCTCACGACCTTTGACATCACACAGGAGGGATTCGGTTGGATGCTGGCATTTGGTGACCTGGTCTGGGTGCCATTTGTCTACTCCCTGCAGGCACGCTACCTGCTCGATCACAGGAGCTCTGTGCACGTGCACAACTACGCTCTAGTGGCTATTCTCCTGCTGAACAGTAAGTCCACGTGACATGCTGAGCACCACGAATCCAGCTTGCAGCATCGTTATCGACTGCGTTTTCCTTGTGCACCTGCTGCCAATTTTCACTGTGTTGATAAGAAACATGTTTACGTAATATAAATGTAGAATACACGTCGTGAATGCTGGATGTGTATTGTGTAGTAAGCATGTGAATCAATAAATAGTTGATGTGGTCCGGTGCTCTGACTAGCGGTGTTACATTTTCCGTTCCGTATGTTTTTGCAAACTCAGTGATTGGATTCTGGATTTTCCGACTGGCAAACAAGGAGAAGGACACCTTCCGGAAGAATCCTCACCATCCCAGTATTTCTCGTAAGTTCTTTTTCCCATTAGAGTCATGCTATTTTTCCTGTACTAACGTGTGTAATTGTTTTATTTTGTACGCATATATGTTCCTATAACACGTTTGTCTGACCCTTTATTTGTTTCTGTGATTACGTTAACTTCAAGATCATATAAAACTGGTGGGGAAGCTTGACAGGTTGGTTACCTACTCGAAGATACCTGGATAAAACTAAATGGGCACTGTGGTGCCATCTACAAGGCTACAGGTGGAATTTTTGCAGATGTGTGTTTATACGTATTTGTCGACCTTTCAACAGATCTGAAAAGCATCGCAACACCGTCTGGCAAGCGACTCCTCATCTCTGGTTGGTGGGGATTCGTGAGGAAGCCTAACTACCTGGGAGATCTGCTGATGGCTGTCGCCTGGTCGCTGCCCTGTGGTGAGTACTACTCAACCATCCTGCTTCTTCTGTCAGCATTGTGCCTGTACAGCTTGCCAAAAAAATCTTCAGCTAACTCGTACATAAAAAGGATCCTCGTGGAAATCGCTTCTCCATTAGAAATGATGGAATACAAATATTTACAAGCATCGTCGTTGTAACATTGTCTCAAAAGTCTGACGTGGGTGCTACCAGATACAGTATCCGCTGTGCACTTACCGACGTCTCAACAGTTTCCCATCTCCCACGAGTTGCCACTGTGAGGTCCGTCGCACGATGGCGATTTCCTAAACGAAGCGTTTTTCCCTTTGGAACACAGGATTCCGCCACCTGCCGCCGTGGTTCTACCCGATCTACTTTGCCGTGCTGCTCGTGCACCGCGCAATCCGGGACGAGCACGCGTGCCGACAGAAGTACGGTGACGCGTGGGACCGCTACTGCGAGAAGGTCAAGTACCGAATTGTACCGTACGTGTTTTGAGACTGCTGCATCCGGCACGTCTGAAGTGCCCGCTTGCTTGAGTGCCAATCACTGTCGCACTGGACGGTAAAGCCGACTTTGTGTGGGAGAACTAGTGCACCCGACACGCTCCCAACGCGCGCTCGCGTTTTATTTAGTTATGAAGCACGTTTTAACGAGTTAGAATAGTTCCCGACTTTCACGTGGCCCGCAATCGCTGTTTGCACACGTCTGTTCGATTATCGAGAGCCACACGGGACCTTACAACCGTTATGTATTACAACTGCGTGAGGTAACTGCTGTCCAAATACCTTAGCGAGCAGCCTGTGACTAGCTAATTTGTTTATATGTCGTACCAAAGATGGACAGACTTGTTACAGCCCAAATAGACAACAAGTGAAACAACAACAATATTACCCTCCTAATTCCGTAATTGTTCAACGAGTACTGATTGCGAGAAGAACCGAGGAAGAAGAAAACGTAAAATTACACTAAAGTTTTATATCTCAGCACTACTTTTTTGCACGTAAGCCCCATTTTTAAAAACTGTTTTCGTAAATTCTGTTTATTGTGTAAATAAATGCATGTAAAATGCGTTTTGTATCGATGTTAAAAACGTACTGAACTCATTACGTATAGCAGTACATATTTTTAGAATATTTTCGTCGACGTGTCTGACGTATTTTTTTACAAGCCGTAGTCGTAGGAACCCGTTGTAATGTGTGTTGGCCTAGAGACCGCGTGTTTTGTCATGTTTTTAACTGACGTCTGTCACCATGTGCAATCTGGAAATGTACGATATTAGTAGAGATTAGCCTCATAGCTATGCCGATTATCACACAGCAGTATGAAGAGTTGGTCTTGGACCTGGTAGAGTATGTATCTGGCGGTGAGAGGGTCACAAGGATTTGTCCATTCCTTAATGTCTGTAGATTGGTTATTGAACCCACGTGACTGCGTTTGCAGGAGGTGCAATGGCTTGCGTGTGTGAATGAATGTTCCATTCCCTTTCGACCGCCATTCGCCAAGCAATCGGGTCCACTCCTTAATCACTGACACAAATGCCTATAATTATAAGCGGACTCGATGGCATAATTCTAATCCAGGGTTTGCATAGACGCTCCCCATCCTTCTGTGGCTGCAGTTGTCACGTACCTCTCAAGGCCGATTCATAAAGTAATTAGACATTTTATTATTTCTATTTTAGTTTTTTCTAAAAAGTCATCCACTTGGGCTTAATGGTTTATGATCGAAATTTAATGAGTTTAAATAGCTTCACGGTACAAAAATATTAATTTGAGGATTGGTGTAAAAACGCGATAGAAAGTTTTGGCGTTTACTCAATATAGTGTTCATTTTCTAGCCGATTGCATCTTAATTTAGAGCTATTAATCGTTTAAAATTATTTATGAATCGTTCAGTATTCATTTGCTCACCATTTTCAGCACGTCACCATGTATGTGACTTGTGCAGAAATTATTAAGCATTAGCTTAATATAGCCAGCCAAAGATAGACCGTGTAATAATAAAATACCGTGTAAAACGCCAAATTAAAACCAAAGTCCGTAGTTCTACTTGGTTTTTCCAGTAATTTATTAGTAAAATATAAGTAAGTGGTTTCCTTACACTGCCTTGTCATCCTGTAGTTAATGGCGTCTGTATGAGTTAGTCTAAAGAAAATGGGTATGAATTGTGGTACATCCAATTCGCACCGTGGTCAGGGCCCTGTTGTTATTATTCTGGTGTCATGAGCAGTGTTTTAGCATCTACGCGGCTTTCGTTGCATTTTATTATAGTTGCATGTTTAACTTCTACTCGTCTATATTCCTAATTTTAAGTTAAAATTCCTGTTAAAATTTATAGAGGTAGATGTCGCGCATGTTTATCGTAAAAACAGGAATGTGGTTTAGACAGGTTGAAAAACGCCGAACACTCGTTAGTTTCTTCTTGACGGGTTGGTGTTGGATACCCTATAAAATACCTATATATTATACCTATATTATTTTAGCCTAGTATTATGTCTAGTAGCAACTATTTTTGTGCGCATTTGTAAATACTTGTCACACATGTTTGCTACATATATGTATTTGCACATTAGTTTTACATTTTTATCATCAACGTCGTCATGGCGCTCTAATGGAACCACAGTGTTTGTCACGTCATTTCGGTCTTCATCGCTTTTCTTCGTTAGTGACGTTAGAGGCACCATATTCGAAAAGAGGCAGGGTTCCACCTGCGTTTGTAGGTAGTTCAATAACAGGGTTCTAGCGGGTCCTCGAAAATTTTGGAGTATTAAAATGATTATTTTCCAAGTCTGAAATGTCCTGGAAAATAGGGTGTAACCCTGGAAGGGACTCAAAGATTGGTTGTCATTGCGTTTGGTCATACAACGTCCTTGAAATTGAGAACGTATTTATATTTTCTGAGCCGCAATAATATTCGGTTCATGAAAGATTTTGTTCACCAATCGCTGGTTGGGTGATACGAGGCACAAATATAGTATTCGGCTAAAATTGTTATTCTTGGTCTTGGGCGTTTTAAGTCCTGGAAACTCCCTCAAGAATTTATCGAAAATGGTTTGCTTTAGGTGTGCGAACTGTAAGTAAGGTAGTGTAGACTGTAGATATTCTGATATTATTTCTGTCAGCCGTAGCAATGTTTTATTTAATGTGTTGCCGGTGTGCGAATAACTTTTCGTGTTAAAATGTTGCGCTGTTTGCGTTAGCGTCGTGTTTTACCAGTTCACCCTTTCATGAAGTTAGATCATCTGTTCTGTAATATGTTGGTGTCTCGCCGCTTGAAAATAACGGGCACGAGTGTTGAACTAGTGTATGTTCTGTACGCAAAGATAGATGTCAAACTTTTAGATGCACCATTGCTATTGAATGTAGCTAAAATATACAGTCTTTCGGAAGTATGTGCGTATGCAGGCAGACTATTTTTAGTGTAAATTATTCACGTACACATGTATCAGTCAGTGTTCAGCGAATATATTTTTTCATATACGAAGATATCACTAGATTTATAAGAGCGACAGCAGCATTGTAATTTTCTGTAATGGATTCCAGTAGAGGCACAATAAAATGAATATCTTAATACACAGCTGGTTTCCCTAGTTTCTTTGACGTATCGTGAATCCCAATATTTGTCTTTTCTATAGATTTTTATAGTCGCAATAATAGTGTTTCCTTTAGTGAGTTGAAGTTGATTATACTAGCGTAACCAAGATATAGGGCATAGCCGCCTATTTCGGAGAACTCGCATGAAACCTCTATACTAGAGCCACCTAGTGGTCGCACACGACGCTCGTTGCGGCGAGTTTACTACTCGTGAATGAACAGGTTGGCGATCTTGACGTCTCCGTAGATGAAGATCACATCAACATGCTTCATTCGCACATTGTGGGAGAAGTTGGCGATGTGGCCGTTATTAACGGAAATCTGAAATCGTCAAGATTTTGAGTGTTTATTCGCCGTGGTGCACTGTATGGCTTACTTTCATAGCTGAACTATAATGCTCTTTAGACATCATGAAATGGGGCTGTATCGGGGGCCTATTATTCTCTTCTGATTTACACCCTTGTGCTAGAATTTTTATTGCCTATCGCATACGTCCACGCGCACGCATATAACACCCGGGCACACGCGCTCGCACACCTACCTTGTATCCGTCGTCGGTGACAAGGCATGCCAGATCGAACTTCGTTCCCTTCTCAAACACCATGAATCCGCGCTCCTCGTCGCCCCAGTCTCCTCTCTGATGCACAGCACAAGAGCCGATATTAGCAAAATAATCAAGAATGCTAATTGCGATCATCATTAATATTATCCATTATCCATTCATTTTATCTAAATAATATTAAATCAATTAATTAAATGTTTATAATGGCAAAAAATAGCAAGCAGTAGATAGTGTTTTGTCATTAGTATAATCCTGCGAGCTTTAAGCGTTGGAACGTTCATTTATTCTATATTAACTGAACGAGTTGGTGAAAGAAGAGTTGGGTACGTGAAGCAGAATAAATCATGGCGACGAGAACACTAGTGATACCCGCGGAATATACAATCAAGCGCACATAATTTATACTAAAACGTATGTGCTTTTGATGTAATGGTTCTGTCGTAGGTTTTCTGGCAAATATTCGCGATTCTGAAACTGACGTCTGTCGCCGTGTTTTCGTAGCAGCTAGTTATCACGTGACCTATACCTTTCTGCTGTTCATGATGATGGCGTCTTCATCCCAGCGGCATGCGAACGACAGACCGATGTCCTCAACCGGCTCACCCGCATCCTTGCTACCTATATCAGTCTGAAGGCGGAACAGCCATCTGTGCCAAGTTTTCAATAATTACGTGTTGTAAATAACATTGCCATTTGAGGGCTCGAAACATCGTGGTTGTGGTCGTAGTTTTTTGTTGTTGTTTCTGCTGCTGTTAATGTTATTGTTGTTGTTGTTGTTGTTTTGCCTTCTTTGTATTCCTACTTTTATTCTTTTTATTATTTACTGCCACGTACGGTTTCACGTTGTTTGCATTTTGAAATTTGCTCACTTATCGTTGCCCTCATCCGTCGGTGTTCCCACGAGTTGGATCAGTGTTCCTGGCTTCAATCCACCAGGGATGTTCGCGTGGTAGGGAGTTTTCTGCAACGGGTGAACATCAAGAGGTGAGCATTATATCAGGAGTGAATAATAATAGATTATGATTATGATTATGATTATTATAGACTGTTATTATTCACTCCTGATCATATTACACGACAACTAGTTGCTCCGAGTTAAGTTTCACGACGTCCAAATGCAGAAATGCGTTTTCGTTCCTTCGAATTTGGAAAAAGCGAGCGATGAGATAGAGACGTGGTGCGTGCACACTTACGATGCCGGTAACACTGGCCCTGGAGCCCGTGGAGAAGTCCGATCTTGTCTCACTGAAGTATTCTTCCGGGAGAGACTGCAATCAATAATGATAAATCTTTTTAGAGTGGTATATTATAATCCCTCGATTTCTCTCTCTCTCTCTCTCTCTCTCTCTCTCTCTCTCTCTCTCTCTCTCTCTCTCTCTCTCTCTCTTCTCCTTTCCTCGCCCATGTCTCCCGCCTCCCTCGCTCCGTCCCTCCCCCTCTGTCTTTTCCCATCTCCATCTCTATCCATTTCTCACTCTCGCTCTCTCTCTCAATCTTCCTATTACCCCTTCTTACCTTCTCTCCCCTTTCTTTCCCTCCTCCCCGTCTGTCCTTTCCCATTGCCACCTCTATCCATTTCTTACTCTCGCTCTTTGCATCTTCCTATTTCCCCCTTCCTCCCTTCTTTCCCCCTTTCTCTCCCTCGCGCTCTCTCTCTCTCTCTCTTTCTCTCTCTCTCTCTCTCTCTCTCTCTCTCTCTCTCTTTCAGACACACACAATCTCTCTCTGTCGCTTACCGATCTGCCCTCGACGCTGATGTTTGTTACTTGAACGTCGTTGACCCTGATGTGCGTCGCTGAAGAGATGTCTTCACGGTGGTCAAAGTTGCAGTAGACGTCTCCGTCAAAGGCAATCTGTTCCGAAGAAACGCCGTGATGTTCGGTCATTGTCGGATAACCGTTACGTATAATATAATAAATTTACGTAATGACACTCACACGCGCACAGACACTCGTGCACACGCACGCACGAACGCGCGCGCACACACACACACACACACACGGCAAACACGGCGCACACACACACACACACACACACACACACACACACACACACACACACACACACACACACACACACACACACACACACACACACACACACACACACACACACAGCTGTTCACCATCATGCTGCGTGCGCGCAGTGCACATATTGGCAATACTCGTGGGAGTGCGCATGAATTAAGAATTGTCGCATTCTAGTGCAACATATGCGCCCGGCTGTGTATACTTTGTATCCATCCTCGAGGACACGAATCTGGGCGTCGAATGAATCTCCAGGCTTGAATGGGCAGGGGTCGCAGCTGTCTTCATCTCCCCATTCACCATTGTTGCTGTTCCTTATCACCCGGTCCTCGTCAGAACGAATTCCGATAGTAAGAAGTATGACGTCACCGCCGTAGATACGTATCCACCACCTGGGAATGTCATAGACCCAGCGAAATAAT